CGCCATCTTCCCTCAACGCCTCCCTCCCGCAACTCGGTCCCACCACCAGTTTGCCCTCGCGTCTGACCCCGCATGGCGTCCAGTCTGACGTGCGCCGGCGCGGTGTGGGCGCTGCTGTCCCTGATGTGCGCCGCCGCGTCCTGCGTGGGCTTCTTCATGCCCTACTGGCTCCTGGGCATGCAGATGGACAAGCCGGTGTCTTTCGGGACCTTCCGTCGCTGTTCGTACCCCGTGCGCGATGAGGAGCGCCAGGCCACCGTCATGCTGGAGCAGTGCGGCCGTTACGCCTCCTTCCACGGCATCCCCAGCCTGGAGTGGCGCATCTGCACGCTGGTGACGGGCGTGGGCTGCGGCCTCCTCCTCTTGGTGGCGCTGACCGCTCTAATGGGCTGCTGCATCTCCGAGCTCATCTCGCGTACGATTGGTCGCGTGGCCGGGGGCATTCAGTTTGTCGGAGGTAAGTGTGTTGGGATCGGGACACTTTGAGTTGCTTTTCCCACTGCTGGCGGAAAAAACGGAAAGGAAATTCTATTCGGAAGTTTTTGGACAAAAACATTGGGACTCAGTCATTGATGACTGGCATGAAAAGTGGACTGACCAATGACAAGTGACATGTCCAACCAATCAAAGGTACGCCTTGGTCAGTCAACCTTTCAGTCATTCCTTGAAGCCCCGGTGATTGGTCTATTGGTCTGCGTAAAATGTCTTTCATTTCACATACCACCAGTGATTGGTTGTTTTTTTCACCTTTCATTGGTCAGTCTACACATCAGTCATGACAAGTAGTACCGGTGCTGATTGATAACAGGCCATTGACATGCGATCGGTCACTGCTGCTAAGTCTAACGATTGACATGTTGACTAAACACTGATTTAGTTGTGGACTGAACAATGCCCAACCTGTAGACTGGCCATTGTGTTTGTAAAAAAAAAAATAATAATAATAATTACATCCCAGTCACAGTATTGAGTAAAAAAAAAAAAATCGCAATGATCTCATTTTTCAA